CAACTTAGAAGCCTTTGATCATCTATTACATGTAAGTTTTTAAAGTGCATTGTTGCTCATTCTCCCATTTAAATTACATGGCTTTAATTACAATTAATGTGCACAAACCATTTGGTTGTTTTTTTTTTCAAATGAAACAGATCCTATCAATAAGTTTGTGGATCTTTTTAACATGGATCAGTTACCCCTGCTTCTGATCATGAACCAAATCCATGGGAATTGAATGTTAGTGCATTTCATGTGATACAATTTGTTTCCATCTTTTTCATAAAGTGAAACTTAAATGACATGGAATTTTTTGATAGATCTCTAATGCTTCTTCTGGTCAGCATCTTGGCTTTTTGCTCAGCAAAGTGGATGTGGGTGAGGTTCTTTCTGAAAAAAAAAAACAATTTTATTTAAGGCTATATAATAGAGTAACTATCCGTAAATATAAACTTTTTAACTTTTCTCAATCAGCATGTTGGTTTTCTTTCCTACCTTTTCTGTTGTTCATGGGTTCTATAGAAATCTGAAGGAATCAGAATGGAAGATTCCTTAAGTTACACACTCGGTTGACAAAATGGATGGAATTGGATTCCAATAAACTCCCCCAAAATTTGTGATCAAAGAATAATTACTCAAGAATTGGAATTCCTTTGTTTATTTCTTCATTAAAAATGTCAAAATTTGTCCTTACACCCCAAATATTGTTTTTCGAATCTTGCATCTTCTTTTTTATTCTCACCTCTAATTTATCTTAATAAACAACTCTATAAATGTAGATATTTATAATCAATTGTTATATTATTAATTAGTTATTTGTCTTCCTTTTTAATGGCATATTACTTTTTCTTTTAATGTTTATGAAATTAGAGTATATGCGTTTGATGTTTATATAACTAGTGTTTACTAGTTGTCTTATGAGTAAAATCTTTTCCAGTAAATACATATTATTTTATAAAAAAAAGTCATTGAAGGTTGTTTTGGTCATTTAACATAATTTTCACTTCAATTCTTTTGAATAATTTGCAAACGATTTTTTTTTTTTGCAGGAACCTCTTCGTTCAGCTGTGATGCTTGAACAAGCATCTTATTGATGTTACCTTTTAGCCAAACCAATTATATTAAGAAAGTATGGATTTCGTTTCATTCTTTCTGATGATATTAGTTTAGTTTTTTTTTTTGCTGATTAGAACCTTTATACTCTAACAAATTTACATTTCTATGTCTTGTGTTTAAACCAAACCCTATATTTTTAGGTGCTTCGTTTGTTGAGTAATGGAATGATGGAGAGTTGTCCTCTCTCACTCTGGTCATGTAGGCGCCCCTAACCTTACTTCTGGCCAGTTTTCATTATTGATAGGGAAGATGTAAGAAATTAATAATTAATTAAGTAATTCTTGAAAGATATCATTATTAGTAAAGAAAGAAATTGCAATTAATGTTTTTTTTCTCATTTCTCTTCCATTGATTTGCATTTTACTAGCAAAATAACGTTGGTCAAAAACTTGGATTAGTCATTTGGTTTGAATGTGTTAGGTCTAACATATTGTAGTTGCAGTTGGTTTGTTTATGAGGTTCAATCATGTATTGATTGTCTATCAGCATTTTTACTTGATTTTAATCTTATTGTAATTGTTGGCTGGCTAACAACAACATTGTGATTGTCATTACAAGTTATTATTAAGGTCACATAATCTGCCTGCCACACACTTATTAACATATAGATTGATTCCTCTTGAAGATTGTAAGTAAAGCTTAATTTATGTATTTAATTTCTAATTTCTAGTTGAATGTAATTTTGATGCTAAGCTATAAAACCTTTTATTAAACCATTATACTTTCATAATCTAAACCATGATTATGAAGACATTGTTTACTATGAAGACACTGTACTTTGAAAAACTAAACATGTTTGGTTTTGGATACCAATTATAGTTTACTATCAAAGTCTAACCAATTGCATGCAACATTATACTTCAAATCGTAACATTATATTTTCAAAATCCACTCTTGTAAGACACTGTAGTTTAAATACATTCGAATTTAGAACCTAAACTTGTTTAACCACGGTTACCAATTATAACATTATACTTAATCTTTATTTATTTTTCAAAGTAAGACATCATAGGTATTTATTAGCACTAAGTCTATTATTAGTACAAACCAAGTTCCACAATGGAGTGTTATTTGGATTACAAAACATTTTATTTCTTCCTTAATCTTTCAAGTTTCCACTAAAAGCAGTGTAACGTTGTGGCATGAAGAACTGAATCAAGTTTCACAATCAACACGACCCCCCTTGCAAGGTATGCACTAATCAAGGCTATCTCTCATTACATAAGAATCATTTTTTTAAGGAGAAGTTGAAAGAAGTTAATCAAATGGTAATTTCTTTTCGTAGCAATTAATATTTTTAAACAATACAAAATGCACAACTTTATAATATTAACTAGACACTGGTACAATTCCTTTATGATATTTGGCATGCCATAAAATATTACATATATATATATATATATATATATATATATATATATATATATATATATATTAAAATGGAACAAATTCCATAGGAACGAAATTCATTTTATTCCGTTTTTGTAAAATGGAAAGAAAATAAGAATTCTGTCAGATTAATTCATTAGTTTTTAGTCCGCTTTTTTCCTCTATGGATTTTCCACCCAGGTTCTTGAATCTTTGCATATTCAACTAAATTTTGGAAAAATAGATTCTATTAGACTGTGTATTGTTCCTGATAAAGTGTTGTGTGGCTAATGATGTCTTATATTTTCTGGATTTGTGTATGTTTGATTTGATAAAAATGGTTTTATTTAGCGAAGAATTCAATCTATTTTTATGTTAAAAGTTCACATAATTTAAAAGTTATTGATGTGAAATTCGTAGTTGAGTGATTCTTTTTTGTGTTTGGGTTTTGGAGAGCATAGATCTTTGCTATATATAGTCGGTGGTCTTTCTCTTACTCTTTCTGGATGCTGCTTTATAAATAATAACATATAGTAGTATTTTACTTAATAGTTCATGTTGCTTTACATTGAATTATTTAGAATCCAACATCTTGTATCTTTAGGTTCTACGTTTTAGGGCTCATCAAGAAGAGAAGATGCACAAATATTTTACCACAACCTCAAGGATAATGTGACAATTCATCCAACTCAATATGCCATCAGTTGGCGTTTGAAGTTAACTTTATGAAAATGACCAATTTGTCTCTGTTGTTGTCGCCTTCGTCTCTTTCATTTCCATTTTCAAGGAGCATGACTAAACCCTAAATCTTTAAAAATGGAATCTTTTTGAATGTAACATTGTGTTTATATTCATACATTTTTTAAATAAATCAATATTAACAAAATTTTCATCTAACCGTTTATAAATGACGCACTGAACATTTAATTCGGTTACGATTTGGTACTAATTTGAAAGCATTGATGGGATCTTCTGATATTATTTGTTAAAAACTAACATAAAGTTTAATACTAATATTTTATAAAAAAGCACATGTATAAAATTTAATAAAAGTATAAATAACAAGTTTTAATATTCAAGGGACCATTTATGTCAATTGTTTGGAATACGAATGGAAGTTGCGGGAACTAACCAGCATTTTACAAAACTCACCGGAGACGTGTAAATGGTTTTAATCTTGGAAAGGTTTTATAAAAGACCGCTGGAATTGGGAAGCCAAAAGTTTGGGTCGGTGTATTGCCGCGCATTAAATATACGTTACGTTCTCCACTCTTCCTTCTTCACTTCACTCATCCCGCTCCGCTCTCCAAACACCGTCGGAGACGACTCGTCGCAACCTTGTAACTCAGCTCACCGGAGACACAAGCACCCCCACCCTTCGTAGGACACTCACAACTCATAAGTCACAACCATGTCGGTATTCCTAAGAAGTCATCTGTAAGTTTTCGTTCTTATCATTTTTCTCTTTTCATTTTTATTTTAGTTCTCTAGGGTTTTCTTTATTTCAGATGTTGTAATCTCCTCTGTATTTATGGATAAAAGAAAAATCGAAGCGTAGTTGAGTTTTTTTTTTCAATAAACTCTGGTTTTCTAATTGCACAAGTTGTATTGCAACTTAAAAACATAAGGAAACTACATAGTTTTATTGATCGTCTCCTTAGGGTTTTCTCCTCTATCTTTTTATTGATTTTTTTCTCTGTAAAATCTGATTTAGCGTGTCTGGTACGCTTGTTTCAGAATTTGTTCTTATGAATAACCAATTTTATCAGATCAGATCAGATCAGATCACGAATGTTTTTCTCAAATCTCTTTTTGTGAATAACCAATTATGGCTAACAACAACATTGTCATCACCAGTTGTTATTAGGGTCACATAATCTGCCACATTTATCAACACATATTGAATCCCCAATGTTAATTACTTAATATTAATATACATGCAAAATGTCTAATAGGGTAATAATGAAAAAAAGCCTTTCCATATTGTTTATAGGCTTCAAATTGCAAATGTTGTATGCATCAGATGTTGACAACCAAATGTTGAGGTATAAATTTATTTGTTTACTTGTTCACAACATTCATCACATGTTACAATTCTTTTTTTTTAATGAGGATTCAGATTCAGACTGGTTATTGTTGATGCAGGAAACAATGAGAATTCAGACTTGTACTTAGAGCTATCCATCACCTATACATAGAAGTAGAAACTATACACATCTGTAAGTTTTTACACACAACTTTAAGAGTTTAGATTTTATTATTTTAAAATTATTTTTAGTTACTTGCCCCTGCAGTTTCTCAACCTGATTTTGTACCAACATGATTTCAGTTTTTCATTAAAGAATTTGTATGCAATGTAAGTTTTTAAATTGCATTGTTGCTCATTCTCCTATTTAAGTTACATGGATTTAGTTATAATAGCAGTTCTATTGATTTAAAAAAAAAAAGTCACTAAAGGGTGTGTTCGTCTTTTAACATAATTTTCACTTCAATTCTCTTGATAGATTTACAAACCAAACACAAAACAAAACATGAATGGAATTGAAATCCTTTCCATTTCTTTTCAACCATACATACGACAGATTCCAATTCCTTTGATAAATTTCATTCATTTCAAAAATATTTTGAGAACCGAAAATTCCCTTCCACTACTCCGAGATTACTTGCTATCCTTAATTCCAATTCCTTTTACAAATTCCATTCATTACTCTGCAACAAGAAAAGGTTTCAGAAACCAAATACAGAACTTGTGGTTTAGAAAAGGAAAAGAAGATACCCCCAAGAAGATACAGAACTATAAAACACTTCATGTTTCTATGTTCTTATTTAGTTTTTCTTTTAATGTTTAAAGGTACACATTTAGGTCCATTAAATCTCAAATACCTTGCTTTATCAAATTACTGCCTTCAATCCAATGATTACAAGCTGACAAAGCATGGAAATGATAAACAGGTGTACGGGTAGCTATAACTATGAGTCTATGACCCTGTTTGTGTATTTCCAAAAATACCCTTCTGTTCCTTAAACTTGTGCTTATTTATTATCCTCAGGAAATGATGTGCTTATTTTCTTAAAAAGATGCAAAATATTGCATGGAAAATGCCTTCAGCACTTATTTAGTACGCCTGTTAGTTCTTTACAATATATATTTATTATTTAGTCAACATTTTTATTTATCTAAAAAGCGTACTTTCAATTAGCAAAGTGAGACATCAGGGAAGGGAAATGCCACATGGTGTGGTCTTTGGTGGGTTGAAATGTTAAAAGAAAAGTGGATAATATAAAGAGGGTGCTGGTGTTTAAGGTAATAATCAATTCTCTTTTGTGTATAAAAATATAAATATTTTAATTTTGTGAAAAACTTCAATTTTTTTTTGGAACCTCTTCGTTCAGTTGTGATGCTTGAACAAGCATCTTATTGCTGTTACCTTACAATTTACATCATAATTTTGTGTACTAATATGATAAGCCTCAAGAACTTATAGATTACAGCATGAGGGATAGAAAGGTCAATAAGTAATAAAGCAGCATGGGAGTGTGGTGAAGTGTCTGTTTTGTTGTACTGCTGTAATCGTGGGGAATTCTGCCAGCTGGGTTGTGGTCCCAGTGGTCCCTTAGGAGTGTATTTAAGCTTGTTTGCAGTGTAGGGCTGTTTATCGAGAATTTGTTATTGTTCTTATGAACCTTGGAGAGACTCTCACCTCTATAATTGTGAGAGAACTATCATCAATCATATACATTCTTGAGTTTATGTGCCTTTGTAAGTTATACTTATTCATAGCTTATCATAAAATACTTTATTCACTGATGTTGTATAAATTTGGAAAAAAAACACATCACTAATTTGCTTCCACAATAGGTATGCATCTGAAACCTTCCAAGATTACAAGTAGATGGAGTTGTTATTGGAGGAGAGTATATTGAGTAGTTTATTATTTTTTAAGGCAGATTGGGTACAAAGCAAATACTTTATAATTTATTTATCTGTATTTTTTTAAAGATACCAATGGATGACTTGTCCAAGGCATGTATGTCACTTGTATACTAATTTATTCTTGCATTTTGGTTTTGTACCTTTCCAAACAAAATCAATTTCATGAAAAAACAGCTCTTTGTTTTTGGCTTACTTGCTATATTTTCATTGGTGTAGGTCAACAGTTTGAAATTGTTGGATGACATGGCAGAACTGAGTTCAACCTACTGAGTTACACGATTATATAACAAAGCATATGGCGGGTGGGGTTTAAATTAATGAGGTATTTTTCAATCGTTGAATGCAGTGGGTGTTTTAATTCTTTAATCCTCTTTGTGTTCGACAAAGGTTAAGGTTTGTGTTTGGTTCTGGAAAATTGTTTCATTTTTGTAGAAAATAGAATTGAGTTTTCATTTTCAGTTTTCAATGAAAATTTTAGAAAACATGTTTGATTGAAACCGGTGGAGTTTTCATGTTTCATCTTAGAAATTTGGAAAAGTTTGTAAAACTCGCTTTTCTAATTTACATACAATTTAGAAAACTGAAAAATTTTATTTTCTCAGAAAACTTTGGACGAACCAAACGCGTTTTTGAAATTTATGTTTTTTTTTGGAAAAAAAATTTCCATAACCAAACGCACCCTTAGGGTTTTACTGTTTAGATTGTATTGATTATCATGAATCCTTGGATTGCATCAAGTACCTGATTACATATGCCCATCTGGTAAAACCAAATTGAATCTCCAAAATGATATTTGTTATACTTTCCTTGATAATTGTCTTTCTGTTGCAAAAATCTCTTACTAATAATATCATATTTTATCCCTTGATATAGTAGGAGTTGACAAATTAGTTGCTTATGATGCTTTAATGCTTTTGTGCTTCACTTATTAGAGGGTATTGATTGTTTAATTGAAACCCTAAACGAATGAAAAATCTATCTGCATGTGGGATCATAACATAGTCAACCCCAACAACAAGGCTATTGTTGCCTTAAGTTAATCCAATTCTTTAAACCTGATTGATTGCTTTGATGCCAGCTACTTTGACTTTATAATTAATGTAGATTTTTTTTACTGTCTTATCGTTTGAAACTTGTTTATATTTTCTGTTCTTGTATTACAACCTTTTCTTTATTTTGGAATGGAAGAAGCAATGAAGGTTGGTTTGTTTTAGGAAAGAGAAGCATTTCACATTGACTTTAGAACTGTATATGGAGTAGTATTTATTATCTTGGGTTTTTTGGCACTGTGTCTACACACCATAAGGATATCATGTAAACAGGTCAATTTTTTTTACTTATTTCCATTTTTAATTCTTATTATCATTAGGATTCGTATTTATTAGAGGGCTGGGGCTAAATAGTGTCTGTTTTATGTAACATGTACTTAGTTTCATTAGTTATTCACGTTTGGTGTAAATTAGTTACCATTATGTCATGTTTTTTTTTTTTTCTATAAAATTGTGAAATAAAGCTCACTTAAAAAAATAGTTAAGTGAATGAAATATATATTCGGGTGATAATCATTCTAACATCATCTGGAAGGGATCCAAGTATAACCACTCATAGCTTTGCATTTGATCAGATCATGTTTAAAGGCCAACATGTGTTTTCCTTTTTGAAAATCAGAGAAGCTGGAGTCTATGTATGAACTATGAAAGCTTCATTAATTTAAATTTAGTCATGTGATGTTTCTGTGTTCATTTTCAGATTATTATTATTATTATTGTTATTATTGAATAATGGCAACAAGAGAGGCGTATCAGATGGTGCAGCAAGTGTCTTTACCAATGATATATATATATATACACCGAAATTGATTATATGATAACAACAAGCCTTAAAACGCATGCTAAATCTTTTGAAGGAAAATTATGGGAAATTACAATGTACTCTGCCCTCTTTTACCGATATGTACAAAATACATTATTATTTACTTATAATTGCAATGTATTTATAGTTTTTCATCCAAAAACAACAATCTTTAACTTGAAGAAATGCTAACAGGTTATTTTTGATTTTTTCTGGTGGACAAGGGTATTTCAAGAACATTTTCGAATTGGCACAGTGAGATTACATATGAATTTGAGAAAACACATATGCCAAGTGCAATTTAGTTGGTCAATGTTAAGTAGTTTATTATTTTTTAAGTCGGATTGTGTACAAAACAATTACTTAATAATGTATCTACATTTTTTTAAAGATACAAATGGATGACTTATGCCAAGGCATGTATGTCACCTGTATACTAATTTCTCATTGCATGTTGGTTTTGTACCTTTCCAAACAAAATTAAGTTCATGACAAAACAAATATTTCCTTTTGGATTACTTACTATATTTTCATTCGTGTAGGTCAACAACTTGAAATTGTTGGATGACATGGCAGAACTGATTTCAACCTACTGAGTTACGCAATTATATAACAGAGCATATGATGGGTGGGGTATAAATGAGATATTTTATGTATTTTTCAATCATTGATACTCAGTTACGTGTGTGTGTGTGTGGTTGGTTATTGCAGTGTTATGAATGCAGTGAAGAGGCAAAAAAACATTATTTAAATTAAAGGCAACAATTTTCAAAACTTTCTTCAGCACAAGATAGGGAAGACGGCTTTTAGATTTTGTTCCATACTTCAAAAGATATAAGTAACAACTTACTTTCATTTATTTGAGTTTTATGCATCCTACATAGTTCATTTCTTTCTATCAACTTTTTCTTATCAAGACATTGTACTTTAAAAGTTCAAAAAATTTACTAAATTATATAGCATCCTACTTTTACTATTTTCTTATTAGGACATTATACTTTTTATATAGATGTTTATAGCATTGTACTTTCATCTTTTTCTTATTAGGGTATCCTGCTTTCAAAATTGAATCCAATTTTAACATTTTCTTATTGTGACATTTTACTTTGAATAACCTACCCTTTTATAGCATCGTACTTCTAGTTTTTTTTTTTTCTTTTTCTTATTAGGACATTTTATCTCAAAAAATTACTTGTATGAATGAGAAGGATGGATGTCCTCATGGGTCATGTAGGCCCCCCTAACCCTACAACATTGCATTTTCAACCTTTTCTTTTTCTTATAAGGGCATTACATTATGAAAACTCTATTCTATTGTATTTGTAATCTTTCTTGTTAGGATATCATAGTAATATATCTAATCATAGTAATGAAAATTTCTTGGTATCTTGATAACATTGCTATAATTGGGTGGATTTTTCCAAGTACAATGTTGCCTATAATAGGAATAACTGAAAATAGGATGCTACATTATTAGTACACGAAAGTACATTTTTTTGCGTTTAAATCAATACTGATGTATATATAACATACATGTTTCAGAAGTAAAGCTTGTGAATGTCCTTGAGATGAGCTATACATCCAATGATCCAATGATCCACATTCACCAAACCCTCATGCCATGAGGGTGTGTGTTCCAAGGAGCATAATGAAATTTCATGGCTTTTTTTTGCAGTTTTGGTCCTTATTTCATGGTTTCTCAACGGCTTTTGGTACCTGGGTCATCACCTAGATGTTAAATTTATGAAAATGACGATTTTTTCCCTGTCATCTTCGTCTCTTTCTATTCCATTTTCAAGGAGCATAATGAAATTTCAACAAAATTTCTCTCTTTCCTTAGAAACTATTGTCATATATGTTGAAGGAGCATAACTGAACACTAAATCCTTAAATATAAACTCTTTTTGAAAATATGGTTAGAAAGTATTGTCATATATGTTGAAGGAGCATAACTAAACCTTAAATCTTTAAAAATAGTGTTTTCTTTGAAAATATGGTACTCATTTCATTGTTTGATAATAATGTGTTTGGTCTCTTGTTCTCAACCTTAGCAGCCCATATGTTAAATTTATTATAAAGACCATTTTGCCAATGTCTTCATCTCTTCCATTTCCGTGTTTAAGGAGCATAACTATGTCCTAATAATCCCAGAAAAGATTCTCCAAAAAAGAATATTTTTTGAAATTTTGGTACTCATTTCATGGGTCGTCAACTTTAGCAACACAGGTATTAAATATTTCAACATGAATCATTTTTCCTTTGTGTTCTTCATCTATCTCATTTCCATAATTAACACCCCAAAAAAAATCATATCTTTCCATAAAAAAAAAGTTGCATCTGATATCTGATATGCTTAAAAATTATTCTTGTTTTTGTTTCAGATCCTCAGAAGAAGACACGAATGTATTTCATGTGAACAACATTCAAGATCCTCTTCAAAGAACTTTGTCTTCATTGGAGCTTCCAACAAACATCTCTCTCTTTCAAATGGAACACCTTCATCTTCATTCAGAGGCTCTCCCTTTGATAACAATCAGAAGATACTACTCCAGAAGACAATCATTCGGGCAGCAGGCAGAGGCCTTGTAGATGGTCAAAGTCAAAGTCAAGGAGGAGAAATTATTGGGCTTCCAAAGACCACCAAATAGTTCCCAAAGAGTCCCTGAGTACCCTCTGACCCTCTTGAGGTAATTTATATCAGAAAATAAATTAACAAAAGCTACTTTTTTACCAAAAATAATTAGGCTTTGTCTCGTATAATTGTCATGAAAAAGTTACTATTTTTCATCTATTTTTGGCAACTTGCTAAATTATGAAAGCCACAACAGCATCCTTTTGGGGTTGAAGAGGTAACACATTTGTTTTTTTATTTTTTTACACGGTAAATATCAAGAAATAGCAACATACTTCATTCTTTTTTACCAATGTACGCAATATGTACCTTATATTTTATTTATGGTAGTTATGTGTAACCCATAATAACAACATACTTGCACTGTCTTTACGGGTAAAAGCATCGTACTTACAAAATTCCTTTCTTGTTTCTCTTTCATTGATTTGCATATTACTAACAAAATAACTCTGGTCAAAATCTTGGATAAGTCATTTGGTCTGACTTTGAATGTGTTAGGTTTAACATATCCTAGTTTGTTGGTTTCTTTATGAGGAGGCTAAATCATGTATTGACTATCTATTAACTTTTTTAAATCTTCTTGTAATATTGGCTGATTAGCAACAACACTGTCATCACGGGTTATTATTAGGGTCATATAATCTGCCACATTTTATTTTATATTAATTTGTGAAGATTGTAAAAGCTTCCATAACTATCTTAATTTATGTATTTCAATTACTAATTTGTGGTTATTCCACAGGAGTGAAGAGCAACTAGAAATCTGGAGAAAAAGCTAAATGACTATATACGATGCCAAGGTAAATAACTAAACCGTATTTTGCTGATTATCAATATATGACATGCCACATAATTTTTTATATTTTGGCAATTTTCGTCCGCCACTTTTTAAAATTTGCACCTGCTGATCTGTTCCTTATTAGCCGGCTTCCACTTCCCTTCACCGACTATGTAAGCCAATAAGATTTTGATTTGTGTCTATAACCCTTCTCACATAATCCTTTTTAGAGAAAATAAATATCCTCCTACCTTTTTTCCCACATATCTTCCTACCCATATGAAATGACAATATTTTGATATAATTAATTATATTTTTGAGCACTTGTCATTATTTCAAATGGGTAGGAAGATAATTGTCTTTTTCTGCTGCCATCTATCACAATTCACGGTAAAAAAAGTCTCAAAATTATTTTTTTATTCCTATTTTGGTTGATCTTTTTTTTTTTTTTTTTGATTTTTTAATGATTACAGAATGTCCATTCACCAGCTCGGCCTCATATGATGTTTTGGATTCACAGGCGTATTAGCTCAAGGTAAGCATAGACAAATAAGTGAAAATTTCTTGCTATTTAACCCTTTCAAGTTTGGGCCAAATAAAGCATACTTTTGAAACATTTAATCTTTTTACTGTTATATAGTTATTTTGTGACACTTTCTTTTTGCATTTATTACAGACCATGTGGTTTCTGACTGCAAAAATTTGGGTTTTTGAATCATTAGCTCCATTTTTTAAACAGTTATGAACTTCTTCGTATAATAAATCAAATATAAACTGAGTTTATGCCATTTCCAAATTCTAAATATGTTATGATGCTTGGTTAGGTTACATTGATATGAGAATCCTATTTTAGTCTTTGCTTCTGACTCCTTTTTATTATTTGATTTTTATGCCCTTTGCCAATTTCCATTTGGTTTTCTGATTACTTAGCCCAATTTGATATGGGAATCCTATTTTAGTCTTTGCTTCTAATTTGTCATCTATAGCATGTCCTAACAATTTCCTTTGTTATGATTCCTTATCCCATCTAAACCTGATTGCATTTCAGTAATATTGTTTTTCAAGAAAATAACCTATGGTGTTTTACAATAATTTTTTCGTTTTTCATGTTTTTTTACCCTTTTTGCTTAAATTGTTCACCTTCTTCAATCTTTATAGTGTTTAACAGTAACGCTGGGAGCATATGGGAAGCAAAATGGAGTTGGTTTTTCTGCAATCAAAAAGGTTTTTATATCTGACTCCAAACAATGATTGTAAAATCTTAATAATTTTGTTCGTATATGTTACTTAATAATTTCCCTAATTCATAAAAACCACATTTACCCACATGTCAATACATGTTCTTTTTTGCATGCCAAATTTTGCTTTCAAAACTAACCTATTCAGACATTCTACTTTGGTTATTTAAACTTATTGATTTAGGCTACCAATCATACCATTGTAGTTCATTTTTTTACAACTATTTTTCTCATTAAGTTATTGTACTTTCAAAATCCAACATTGTACTTTCAATTGTTTTTTCTATTAAGACATTACACATTTAACTATTTTCATTCTAAGACATTGCATTTTAAAAAACCAACCACTAAGACTTGTATTTTTCAAATCTAAACTTGTTTGTACTGTTAACATTTATAGTATTTTATATTCAAAATTTTAAACATTGTACTGTTAACTTTTTTTCTTATTAAGACAATGCACTTTGAACACATTCCACATTCCACCTTTCAACTTTTTTCTTAGCAAGACATTACACTTTAAAACTCTAACATACTTAGACATTATACTTTGAAAATCGAAACAATTATAACATAATACTTAATAAATCTAACCTGTTAAAATATTTTCTCACATGTTTGATTTTGGTCAGTACTTGTAAAATTGTACTTTCAATTTTCTTTTCTGTTACTTTTTTTTTTTTTTTTCATATTAAGACAATGTATTTGGAAAATCTAAGCAATTATAGCATTATTATTTCAATTGTGACATTATAGTCTCAATATAAAGACATTGCATTTTAAAAGTTTAACTTTGCTTTATCAAATTATTGCCTTCAATCCATTGATTACAAGCAGACAAAGCATGGAAACAATATACAGCTGTACATATAGCTATAGCTATGATGAGTCTACGACCCTGTTTGTGTATTTCCAGAAATACCCCTCTGTTTCTAAAACTTTTGGTTATTTATTATCTTTAGGAAAGGATGTGCTTACTCTCTTAAAAAGATTCTGAATATTGCATGGAAAATGCTATCAGCACTTATTTAGTATGCCTGGTAATTATTTACATTTTATATATGTTATTTAGTCAAGTTTTTTATTTATCTGAAAAGTTTACTTTCTTTTGGCAATTTGAGACATCAGGGAAGGGAAATGCCACATGGTGTGGTATTTGGTGCGTTAAAGTGTTAGAAACAATTGGTTAATATAAAGAGGGTGCTGGTGTTTACTTTTGTATCTCATATGAGGTAATAATCAATTCTCTTTTGTGAATAAAAATATAAATATGGCATGTCAAATCTAGGATTCAATGCGAGTATGTAGTCTACTTTCTAAAAATCTGGATGAAATTAGTTTAATAGGAGAAGATTTTCAAATAAGACATGAGTAGTTGATACATACGTTTCACACATGGGGTTAATTTTTTCAAGGACACTCAAGAAGGCTAGGATTTGATACATACGTTTCATGCATATGGGATTAATTTTTCCTAAATCAATGTACATTATTGTTGTTACATGTTTTTTTTTATCAAGTATAGATTTCATATTCATATATACACTCTTAATGTAAACCCTCTGGCCTCTACATTTCATTACCATAGTGACAGATTTTGTTGTTGTGGTAGTTAGTGGTAGAACAAGGGTACAATATTATCTTTCAGGCAAGAATGCATCCTTTATGCTATGCTATGGTATGTGGGGGAGATTAGTATTTAACAAAAATAAAAGACAACTTACTTTCATTTATGATTTCAGGTGCATCACCCTCCTCTTGTCTCTTGATGTCATGGATTTACTTAAGGTGTAAGTTATTTTTAGGGCTAAATGTAATATATAACAACTTATTTTCATTCATTTGTGTTTTTATTTCAGCATCCTAGTTTCATTTCTTTCTATCTAATACATTATTCTACTTTGAAAAATATACCCAATTATATAACATACTACTTTTAGCCATTT